ACTTATTTCTAGTTAATTATGTTCCAACGGTGTGACCTACTTTACTCTTGAGTAACTTTTGAAAAAATAAGAACTTGATAACCCACGTCTACTGGTCCTTTAGGTTCTTCTCCGCTGAAACGATGGTAAATGTATAATCATGGTTGCCGGAAATAATAATAGACCGAATCAGCTTTTTTGTTGAGAAATTAATTTATTTGTTTAGGTAAGTGATTTTTATTCATTTTATGTGGATAATTATAAAAAAATTAAACCTCCCTCCAAAGATTAACCATCAAAAAAATGTAAAATATCCATGATCTGCAGACTGCACTCAACGATTTAGCATAATAGGTATTATGCAGGGATACATACAAGGTGCAGACTATATACAATATAATCGTCTTGCACTTAGTAATAAGTACTTATATTTTATACTGTGTTATTGTATAAAATATAAGATCACTATACATTATAAAAATCAAATGCACCTATGCCCTCTTGATTATTGGCTTAGATGTTGGACAAAACATTTACATATATATATATATGCACATATTATCTCAATATCATTATTATATTCAATATTTGTTTAATATAAAAGTGCATCGCAATACATTATGTATCGTATATTAGCGGATGGCGAAGTTAAACAGAGCAGGCTATACTGTTGAGATTGATATTAAATGACACACGATATCGTATGTATGTTACGTAMATATTGTATAAAGTATTGTTTGGTAAAAATATAAGATAAAACATTGTTGTTTGGARCCAAGGTTGATATAGATAAGTCGTATGTATAATCTGCATATATTGCGTGAATAGCAAAATATATATAATATTTTACTCTACATATAATTATAATCATAATATATAGGTACGGTATGATGTGTGTGAGAAATAGGTTAGCCGTTTTGTCGAGTCAGATAATTTTAATAATAAAATGGTCCAACGRAGAAAATACGGAGACAGACTGCAGGAGATCGAATAATGCTATATATAGTGCCTATATTATAATAGATGTGTCGGTGTGTGTATGGGTACAATATAATATTAGGTATATATATATGTTCACACATGCAGCCTATACAATATAAATGCAATCGCTCGCACTATAATCATTGTACTGCAGAACATTTTAATGTGTTATGTATTGTATGATAAACGAATAATGATAATGATATAATATATAATATTATTATTGTATGTTATTGTACACTTGTGCAGTGTTAAGCTGTTATTGTTTTCGCGCGCGCCGGCCATCGTCCGTCGTCGATGTATGACTAGATATAGTATATACCTATATACACAATACATACACTGCAGTCTAAAATGCCTACATATATAATATATGTATATATATGTGTGTGTGTGTGTGTGTGTGTGTGTGTGTGTTGCCTCCCGTATTATAAATACAACGCGTCACAATCGAAGTCCACGGCACTTGTTTTGAGTACCACTTACGTCGACTATATATGCGGCGGCGGCAGCGGCGGCGGTGTTCCTCTGCGCGATTTTTTATTACATAATTTCACTTTAATATATAAAATAATATTATCCGAAATCGCAGGCTGCAGTGGTCGGCGGCGGCGCGGTGCAGTCGTAGTGTTGACGCGTTATTTCGATAATTATTTAAATAATATATAAACATCATAACATTATATAGGTAGAATAGTGCTGCGGTGCCTATTCTGATATAATAAACGYCGTGCTTATAATATATTGTTCTCGTATACGCGTGTCTTCTGAAAATATCACAAAGTAGGTATATAAAACAACCGAGGCGAACGTATAAATTATACCATAAATTGTAAAAAAAAAAAAAACATAAGTGCATAGACAGATCAGCCGCAGGACTCGCTCGTAGAATATGACCAATGCGAAGATCATGTCGTCGCAGAACAGGCGCGAGTCYTGCTGCAAAGGGCACGCCACGAACGAAAACAATAATGGATACGTCGTCAGTCCGGCGAACGGTTGTCGGAAAATATCGGCTGTCGAAATGGTACGTAACTAGCACCTAACTTACGTGCATAATAATATAGCGTATTTATACATAATTATATGACAATTTGACGTAGGTAGCAATCACATTGCATTTTAATGAGTGTCGTTTACACTGTTGCGGCGATATACGAGTATATATATGTGTGTGTGTGTATAATTAACGCACAAGTGTATAATAGCCAGTATATTACCTATCCCTCGATCGGTAACGATGATTACCATAAAATCTTAAAGTGTCTATGTATGTGTGTATTATGGTAAACGATCGCTGTTGTTTACGGTGCGTAATTATATATATTCGATCATTGTCTCACACGGGTTCCTTATCCATATAATTATAATAACGTACACGTACGATTTAGACTTTAACAGACATCGTGATTTTCCGAGTACACACTCACCTCCATTCGATCGTTATTGATCACGCATTTATCCAAATTCTGATTTTTGGAAATTATAAGTATATACCTCTTCAAACATTTGCATATCTTCAAATGCCTAGATTTACTATTCATTTGTGTGCTAGTGTGTCCTGCTGTATCGCATTGTGRTACAAATTAAGAGCCTTATTCTATTATTGTTTCTCAAGACAGTTTTTTGGAAATGCTAGTATTTCCAGGTTTCCAAATTCTTAAACTATATTTGTTATGAGAATTATAATTCATGGATAATGATAATAGATTTAAGCGGTTTGGAATACAATGTGGAGGCTTGGTAATCACCCCGTATAGTATTATGCTGAGTATAATTTAAATTTAAAGTTATACAATATACGTTGTACATATAGGTACATATGTATATACACAGCTGTAACCCATCCCATACAAGTGGAAAATATCATTTTTATAATTAAAAATATTTTAATTTAGGATTAAGTGTGCTCGAGAAAAGGATTATATTAATTTATTTTAGCCGTTGACTTAATTCGATTGAGGAATGACGAGTTATAATCTAAAATAGTATAGTAGACTATAATAAATGCTGACACTTTTCAATCATTATCTAATTGCGGTTTTCATCTGTTTAATAATAATTTACATCACCGCATGTGAATAGTACACTACATACTGATTCAATGACACTACCATACTATTCCCTATGGTATCTACCTGACAAGGGACATACTGCGCTACTGTGATGTATGATAATTGATAGTATAAAGTAGGTAGTATAGTATGTTATTAATACCGAATAAAA